GTGTTTGTTTTTATATTTATGAGGTTCTATTCCTAAATAGGCAGGAGAATTGAAAAAGGAAAAACCTGGGTACTCAGGATAAAACTGGGGGGGGGGGGCACTAGGGTGGCCAGCTTATTCTCGCCCCCCGGCCCCCGCTGGCGCCCCTGGCTGCTGGATAGAGCTCACTACGCTGCAGTCACCGTGTGTTTTTATTTGAGCTAACAACAAACAGAGGAATTAATGCAGCTTTTTGTGCAGGCTTTAGGACCAAAACCCACCATTGCTCCCAGTACTCCAGACGATGAGAAGGTGGACACCTCCAACAGGCAGAAGGCTGCCCTCTACATGGTGAGGGATATGTTACATGGTCTGTCTGTGGCTACATGTTTGAAACATGTACAGTTTGACCTGATGCTGTTCTGTTCTGTAGATCTCAGATGCTTCTGGTTCCATGAAGGTGACGGCTGTGGCTCAGTCCAGTCCCTTCAAACAAGCCATGCTGTCTCCTGAGGAGTGCTACATTGTGGACAACGGAGTGGATCAGAACATCTTTGTTTGGAAAGGTGACAGCAGCGGACTATAACTCTGCTCTCTCTCCARAGCAGCTGCAGCTCAGTTTCCACTGACCATGACAATGTGCAAATTAGAATTTCAAAAAATAAAATTGCTCAATGGAAACACGTCAATTTAGAAAAAAATTGTTTCTCGACAAAATGTTTTTGCACTAGGATGAGGTGGTATTTCAGCCGTATCGAAATTGGTGTTTTTCGCAAAACTGCAGTGGTTTTAGCTCCGTCCATYGYCCCATCAGCTCTGAGCAGCCTCCCTGTCCCCACAGCATGATGCTGCCACCACCATGTTTCACAGTGGACATGCTGTGTTCAGGCTGAGCTACAGTCTTAGTTCACTGACAGAGCTTTGCTCTGAGGCCAGTAAAGTTCAGCTTTAGTCTGAACTGACAGTGTGTCTCTGYAAACATATGGGGTGCCCTTTGTAAAGTTACAGTCAAAAATTACAAGCAATAGTTTTGTTTTATTTAGCTTTTATAAGAAAAAAAGAACAGATTTATTTTTCAAAGTCAGTTTTTCACCAAATGATTCATACATTTATAAATCTTATACAGTTTCATTTTGCATTCAAATGAAAGCTATAACTATGAGGTACGGTTTGTAAAGTTACACAGTCAAA